TTACAATAATGCTGTTGTCATATCTGTCAAATCTGCTCTAAAATGTGTTGAAATAATAGGATCTGTGCATCTTTTAAGCTAACAAAGTTACTGACTTTGGTATGGGACACCTTTTGGAAGGAGATCCAGAGTTGTGGTGTCTCTACAAGTTAACCTTCTTCTACAGAAGTCATTAATTCCAGGGATATAGATAGTTTTCTTCACAAAATACAGAACAACAAATAGATACAGGAAGGAATGTCATCTTAGTATTGTAGCAGAATATTGTAGTATTATAACCCCCTTCCCCAAAATTCTGTATTTTTTAAAAGCCTGCATTTTACATTTAGACATGTATTACACTGTGCACCTTTCCTTTTTACAAGCTCAAATGGTTCTCCCACTGCATCCCAGCCCCAGTTTTACCCTCACAACATCCCCGTTAGGCTAACACAGAGCCACCATCCCAAAGTCACCCAGAAAGCTTCATGGTTGAGCCGGAATTTGAACGTAGGTTTCCCAGGTCCTAGGCAGCTTCCCCACTAGTGACTTACAGTATTTTACAGCATCATCCAACCGTTGTGGAGGCAATATAAAGCTTATTACTTTTATATTCGCATAAATGGTTGGATGACTCTAGAATACACTATATTGCAGCAGCTCCCCAAATTTAATATTATAATTCTTACCTGGGTTCTCGTGAAACACCAGTTGCACTCCCTTAAGAAATCTCTCTCTGCTTTATTTTATTTTATCTCTCCAATTTACTATTTCTTCCTAATTTACTATTTCCTACAGGGGAGAAGATGACTCTTAGCATCTCTGTCCTACTTTCTTTGACTGTGTTTCTTCTCGTCATTGTGGAGTTGATTCCTTCAACTTCCAGTGCTGTTCCCTTGATTGGCAAATACATGTTGTTCACCATGGTGCTTGTCATAACTTCTATCATCATTACTGTCATAGTGATCAATATCCACCATCGCTCACCCAATACCCACACTATGCCACAGTGGGTGAGAAAGGTGAGATGACCTACATTTTTCAAGCTCAAGGACTAGGAGATTGGTATAAATAAAAGGAAGCATATCTCCATTCTGTACATAACCCAACTATAGAATTTAATGAAACAAATAAGGTGATGTAAACCTTTAAGAAAGGAACAATAAAATAAGCTCTCAATGGAACCTATAGGAAATAGCTGTATATTATCTCTTTTTTTCTTCCTAGTGTTTTTCCTGCAAGTGCCAGCCGTTGTTGTTGTTGTTTTTCTGAGATCAACCAAATGTTGATCCATTGGTTGTGACAGGAATTGACCGACCAACTTGTCACCTGAGCCTGATGTTGGAGGCTGAGAGAGAGTGACTGGCCCAAAGTCACCAAGCTGGCTTTTGTGCCTAAGGCAGGACTAGAACTCACAGTCTCCTGGTTTCTAGCCTGGAGAATTAACCACTAGACCATATACTGTATACATCTTAGTTCCAATTGCTCCAGGGAAGCAAAGGTAGAAGGATGCTACTTCTTAGAAACACCTGGTTAATCTATAAAGATTTTGTAGCAATGGCTTGGTGTTAAGTAGTATTTGAAGTAAAAGGCCAAGGAAGAAGACTTTCAAGCAATTAAGATAAATTTCTGGAAGTTATTTTGTATATTAGACAAAAACCCAGGCCTTTTTTTTTTTTTTTT